AAAATCTATGGCAAAGTTACTATTATTTATTTTTTTATTTACTGAAAAACTAATTATAAAAAGTGGTGAAGCATTTTAATAGTTGGACATGTATTTTACTATCCACAAAATCAATCCAAAATAGTTTTTTTTTTTTTTTTTAACAGAGGTTTGTATATATATATATTCATACAACAGTTCTGTCTGGTTTTCAAATCTGATTGGCTGATAGCCGTGCGATATTCTGCAACATCAGAACTCCTACAGCCTCTTCACCCTTTGTGTATTACTCCGAACACATACAGCCAGCAAAAAGCAGACACTACAGATCTAAAGTTTAAAAGATGCACGCTCAACTGTTTAACTGTCAGCGTATGATTTGAATCCGGAAGAAAGTAGTTCCTCATACAAAAGGGTTTTTGAGACTCTTCATGTTTTATTTTGTTTTTATATACACAATTATGCCGTCAAACTGTTGTAAAAACGCAATATCACACGAGTAGCAGTGTGATATGGCTATATATCGGCACTGGTGGGGGCACTAAGGCATTCGGCCTGCGGCCTCGTGCCAACACACGCCTCCCACCAGTGCCGATATACAGCCATATCGCACTGCTACTCGTGTGATATTGCTTTTATATATATACATATATATATGATAGCTGATGAGACTCTCCAAGTTTAATTTTGTTTTTATATACACAATTATGCCGTCAAACTGTTGTATAGATGCAATATCACACTCGTAGCAGTGCGATATGGCTGTATATCGGCACTGGTAGGGGCACTAAGGCACTCGGCCTGTACAGCCTGATCTGACCCAACAAAATGACCCACATTATTGGTAAATTTAGAATAATTCAGTCATGATGAATCAGATTAAATAAGTTTAATATGTTTGAATTGTTAGATTTTTGTTTATCTTATTAATACCAGCCTAAATCATCTCATTAATTATTAATAAGCTGTCAAATTTTTGAGCGTTTCACATTTGGTTAATGAATTCATGACTAGTTTATTGTTAAAATATTTGTTTTAAATTAAAACTAATTAAATAAATACAATTACATTTTCACCTACCTGATCTGACCCAACAAAATGACCCACATTATTGGTAAATGTAGGATAATTCAGTCTTAATGACTCATATTATAAGAAATTTCCGAGTTTGAGATTTCTGAATATCTGATCTGAGATCATTTAGAGACATTTGTGTTTCAATCATTTCATTATTTATAAGCTAGTTGGCACATTTCAGATTAGATTATTGAATACAAAACTAGTGTATAATTTGTAATTAATAACTAACCTAAAACTTAAAAATAAATCAAAACATTTGTGTTATATTGCATCATCGCCAGCACTTACATCTCATTAATTATTCATGAGCTGTTGATTTTTGAGCATTTCACATTAGTTTAATGATCTGACCCAACATGTGACAATGACATACATTATTAGTAAATTTAGGAAAATTCAGTCTTAATGTATCTTATTAAATAAGATTAATGAGTTTGAGATATCTGAATATCTGATCTGAGATCATTTAGAGAGATTTGCGTTTCAGTCATCTCATTAATTATTCATGAGCTAGTCACGTTTCCAATTAGATTATTCAATACAAATTAGTGTATAATTGTAAATATTCACAAACGTTAAATAAATAAATGTAAACAAAACCTGCCATTTCTTTAAAAAAATAATAGGTGTACCTGATCTGACCCAACAAAATGACGTAAATTACTGCTAAATATAGGATAATTCAGTCATAATGAATCACATATTAATCTGATTATTTAGGTTGTGTAGATATTCCTGTTTTACCTTTTAAATACCATAAAAATAAATACAAATAGATAACAGAATTAAATGTACAGCTACCTGATCTGACCCAACAAAATGACCCACATTATTGGTAAATTTAAAATAATTCAGTCATGATGAATCAGATTAAATTAATTTAATATGTTCGAAGTATCTGATTATTTAGATTTTCGTTTTACCTTATTAATACCAGCCTAAACCATCTCATTAATTATTCATGAGCTGTCCGATTTTTGAGCATTCCACATTTGGTTAATGAATTCACGACTAGTTTATTGTTAAAATATTTGTTTTAAATTAAAAAATAATTAAATAAATACAATTACATTTTCACCTACCTGATCTGACCTAACAAAATGACCCACATTATTGGTAAATAATAAATAATAAATATTATAGATAATAAAGATAATAAAAAATAAGAAATATTATAGATAATTAGTCTTAATGACTCATATTATAAGAGATTTCTGAGTTTGAGATTTCTGAATATCTGATCTGAGATCATTTAGAGACATTTGTGTTTCAATCATTTCATTATTCATGAGCTTGTTGGCACATTTCAGATTAGATTATTGAAAACAAAACTAGTGCTTATTTTGTAAATAATAACTAACTTAAAACTTAAAAATAAATCAAAACGTGTGTTATATTGCATCATCGCCAGCACTATCATCTCATTAATTATTCATGAGCTGGTTGGCACATTTCAGATTAGATTATTGAATACAAAACTAGTGCTTATTTTGTAAATAATAACTAACTTAAAACTTAAAAATAAATCAAAACGTGTGTTATATTGCATCATGACCAGCACTTACATCTCATTAATTATTCATGAGCTGGTTGGCTTATGAGGGCACGTTTCAGATTAGATTATTGAATACAAAATTAGTGTACAATTTGTAAATATAAACTTAAAGTAAATAAATGTAAATAAAACCTGCCATTTCGTAAAAATAATTAAATAAATAATACCTGTAAACCTACCTGATCTGAACAAACCAAATGATGTAAATTACTGCTAGGATAATTCAGTCATAATGAATCACTTATTATTCTGATTAGATCGTTTAGATATTCCTGTTTTACCTTTTAAATACCAGCCTACATCATCACATTAAATATTCATGAGGTTCCCAATCTGAGCATTTCACATTAGTTTAATGAATTCATGACTAATGTTTTATTTGTAGATAATTCTAAACTGTATAGTGTGAAATATGCAATTAAAATAGTTAAATAAATACAAATACAATTAAATGTACAGCTACCTGATCTGACCCAACAAAACGACCCACATTATTGGTAAATGTAGGATAATTTAGTCATAATGAATCTTATATTAAATATGTTTCATAAGTTTGAAATTATTTGATTATTTAGATAATTTAGACACTTGTGTTTTACCTTATTAATACCTGCTTAAATCATCTCATTAATTATTCATGAGCTCTCCGATTTTGAGCATTTCACATTTGGTTAATGAATTCATGACTAGAGTATTGTTTGTAAATAGTTCTAAAACTTTATAATGTGAAATCTGCAATTAAAATAATTAAATAAATACAAATATAATTAAATGGTCATCTACCTGATCTAACTCAACAAAATGACTAAATTACTGCTAAATGTAGGATAATTCAGTCATAATAAATTATATATAAATATAAATATTTAGATCTTTTACATATTCATGTTTTACCTTTTAAATCCCAGCCTACACCATCTCATTAATTATTCATAAGGTGCCCAATTTATACATTCTGCATAAATTAATTCTAAACTTTATAATGTGAAATCTGCAATTAAACTAGTTAAATAAATACAAATAAAATTAAATGTACAGCTACCTGAACTGACCCAACAAAATGACCCTCTTTGTTCTTAAGATGTAGGATAATTTAGTCATGAATCGCGTAAAAAGTAAGTTAAATACGTTTGAAGTATCTGATTATTTAGATTATTAAACATCTGTGTTTTACCTTAATAATACCAGCCTAAATCATCTTATTAATTATTCATGAGCTGTCTTGTTTTTGAGCATTTCACAATTGTTTAATAAATGCATGTCTAGTGTATTGTTAAAATTATTATTTTAAATGAAAAAAATATTGAAATAAAAACAAATACGATTAAATTGTCACCTACTTGATCTGACTCAACAAAATTACCTGCATTATTAGTAAATTTAGGATAATTCAGTCATAATGAATCCTAATAAATGAGATTTATGAATTTGAGATATCTGAATATCTGATCTGAGATCATTTAGAGTCATTAGTGCTTTAGACACCTCATTAATTATTCATGAGCTGGTAGGTTTATGAGTGCAGGTTTCAGATTATTTTAGTTATAATAGTCATAAAGTGTAAACAAATCAAACAGTATTATTTAATAATATATAATATTAAATTAATAATATTTGAATATCTAAACATAAATCTGAATTTGAGTTTCATTGCAGGGCTGCAACCCTCATCATCTCATTAATTATTCATGAGCTGGTAGGTTTATGAGTACAAGTTTCAGATTAGTTTATTTAGTAATAATAGTTATAATTTGTAAATAAATCAAACGGTATTTTTAAAATAATATTCAATATTGTATTAATAATATTTGAATATCTAAACATAAATTTGAATTTGAGTTTCATTGCAGGGCTGCAACCCTCATCATCTCATTAAATATTCATGAGCTGGCGGTTTATGAGTACAGGCTTTAGATTAGTTAATTTAATTTAAGTCATCATACCTAGTGTATTATTTGCGTATAAATAAAAACATTCTAACGTTAATAATATGCTTTTGCTGGTAACGTAAGATAATTCAGACAAAATCAACTTTGAATATTTGAAATTAATTTTTATTTAAGTTTGATTGCAGGGCTGTCCTCATCTTCTCATTAATTATTCATGAGCCGGTCAGTTATTGAGATTAGTTTATAGAATTCATCACAACTAGTGTCTTATTTGTAATGACTCAAACTTTATAACATTAATAATATGCAAATAAGTAAACAACAGTACTTAATCAACCCCATCACAATGACCTAAACTGCTGGTAAAACCTAATGTAAGATAATTCAGTTCAAATAAGTGTGTATCTAATTATCCAGTTTTAGACATTTGCACGGTATCATCCCCGGGCTGTCCTGACCCTCATCATCTCATTAATTATTCATGAGCTGACCTGTTTATCAGCGCGCGTCTCAAATCACCCGCTCACCGCGTACACAAAGGGGGCGTGGCTCGTCTCCTAGGTGATGCTGTGTCACACACACACATAGTATGCACACACCACTCACACACATTTACAGTACACGCACTCCGCAAAGACAACCCACAGGAGCGCGCGCGCGTGCGTGCCTGCGAGAGACACAGAAACGGAGAGAAGCAGAGGAGGAATATCTAGCAGACCTCCCATCATCTATATGTGGATTATACCGTCATCATCATCATCATTATTAAAATCAGCATGGCTCCTCCATCACGGCACCGGTAGCAGGATCAGATGCTCCTGCAGTGGGAGGCTGACCGAGCGAGCGCGCGCACGCGGCTGAGTGTGTGTATGCGTGTGTATGCATGCGTGTATATGTGTGTGTGTCCTCTCACACAGCCACAAAGCCTCTTCCCAACAGAAGAGGCTGCTAAATTCATCCTGACACAACGGCGAGGTAAGAAATGCGTTTTTTTTCTTGCTATGTTTACGCGAGCCGCGGGCACGCGCTTATATGGTGATGCTGAGCTGCTTTATTGTGTACATCGCCGGATAAAAACACAGACAGACAGCCAGACAGACAGACAGACAGAGATCGCGCACAAGCACAAAGCAATGAGAAGCCGAAGAGAAGGTGAAGCTGTGATGTGGAAATGCTTTTACCTCAGCTCCTCCTCCATCCACATTTGCATGCATTAAGATCACAGTGATATACTTGAGGAGCATCAGTGTAAACCGGGCAGAAATGGTAGGAACAAACAAAATGGAAGTTTTACAGGATTGCAGGGTGCATTTTGAGTATACATGCCTTTAATTTGGCTTAAACTGGAATTGATATGCACTCAAATAAATTATGTTCGATGTTTGTTCAAACTACTCAGGTAATATATTGGGTAAAGTTGGTTTTACATTCGCATATTCAGACTTTCTCCTTAATATAATTTCAGAAAAGTATTCTAAATAGGGAAATCATATTAGCAGCCGATGACTATCAGAGTACAACACTGTTCTGAGTCAATTAAAGGTGCAGAAGGTGCTTGCTGAACATGTTTAGTAGTGAAAGTCTCTTCACATTTCAATAGTAATGATTGTAAATGTAAATGTAATGTGTATTTATATAGCGCATTTATTGTGTATGGCCATACACCCAAAGCGCTTCACAATCATGAGGGGGGGGTCTCTCCACACCACCACCAGTGTGCAGCATCCACTTGGATGATGTGATGGCTGCCACAAGACAACGGCGCTCACCACACACCAGCTATTGGTGGAGTGGAGAGACAGTGATCGAGCCAATTAGGTGGAAGAGGATGATTGGGAGGCCATGATCGTAAGGGCTGGTTGGGGGACTTTGGCCAGGACACCGGGGTTACACCCCTGCTCTTTCACGAGAAGTGCCATGGGATTTTTAATGACCACAGAGAGTCGGGACCTCGGTTTAACATCTCATCCGAAAGACGGCGCCCACTGACAGTGTGGTGTCCCCTTCACTATACTGGGGCATTAGGACTCACGCAGACCACAGGTTGAGCGCCCCCTGCTGGCCTCACTAACACCACTTCCAACAGCAACCTAGGGCCCTATCATACACCCGGCGCAGTGTGGCGCAAGGCGTGGCGCAATAGTCTTTTGGTAGTTTCAGCTTGGCGCAAGAGTGGTTTTGAGGCGTTGCGCTTCGCTGTTTAAATAGCAAATGCATTGGCGCTCATTTGTGCGCCCATAGGTGTTCTGGTGTAAGAAGGAAGGCGTTCTGAGGTGAACCGCTGGCGCGTTGCTATTTTGAGAAACTATAATAGATTTTTCATTAGACCAAAACAAACCCGGTCTAAACTCCAGCGCAGAGTTGCACCTCGCTTACACACTGCTTAATACACACAAGAGAGCAATAGGCAAATATCTTTACATATGAAAAAAGTTTAATATTAAGGATATATATAGGATATAATAAGAATAGATATAGGATATAAATATAAAGCATTAAAATATTACAAAACATATTATTTTCTAGCCTACATAAATATGAAAAATCACTGCTTTTATGTCTTCTTCATCTCGGGAGGCTTTTTCAGTTCATTCATAACAATTTGCTTTTGTATAATGTTATTATTATTAGCAGTATTATTTATTATATCCATATTTATATTTGTTTTATTAAAAACAAGCTTAGATTTGTCCACCTGTCAGGTTTTGGACCATATGGGGCACAGCATGTGTTTTAGGATATCACTCAGGTTTTTGAGCACACTTGGTTATTATTATTCATTTATTCGTTTGCTGGAAATTAGAACTGAATTTAGAAATAGTTTTGAAACAAATATTTGCGTTTAACAAACAAAAGTATTTATTTATAGGCTAATTGATGTCTGTGAGTAAAGGTTTCCCTATCCAAGAGCGAAAGTGATCCATTATCTCTCATTCTCACGCAGTAGATGCTCTGTTTAACAGTTTTCTGTTAAAAAACTGTCAACTGTTAACTGTTTGCTTGTGAAATGCTAATTTTTTCCACTTAGACTTACTTTGCGTCCTGTAAATAGCGAATGCGCTCTTGGCGCGACGCAGCTGACTCTTAAAGGGAATGGGAGATGAGACTCTAATTGGTTTATTCTCAAAACACACCTATAACTCATTAAGAAAATAAACTCAACCCTTTTAGACTATGTGCCGCGGCGCAAGGCAGATTTCCCGTCCTTAAATTAGCAAAAATGCATCCTGACACGCCCTGAAAGCATTTGCGCCCTGCGTTTTGCGCTCTGCGCATGGACCGTCAAAATAGAGCCCCTAGTGTTCCCTAGTGGTCTCCCATCCAGGTACTAACCAGGCTCAGCCCTGCTTAGCTTCAGTGACTATCCGGTCTTGATATAAGTAAATGATCGATGTATTTATATGTGTTGTTATATTCTGGGTGAGGCATAAAACTAACAAATTTTCATCCAATTAAATATTGTCAGGCTGATCATAGTTCCCATAATTCTGATAAGTAGCTTAGACTGTCTGTCAACAAATAAAGAGTTCAGATGCAGAACCCTCTAGATCAGTGGTTCTCAAACTGTGGTACGTGTACCACTAGTGGCACGGGGGCTTCCTTCTTGTGGCACGTGGAGGAATCAAATATGTCATATATACATGCTACATATATTTATAAATTTAGCAAAAATTATTTGTATATGATTATGACATATAATAATATTCAATATATGACATATAGCCTATATTTCAGATGTCCAGGCAACATTTTCAGGTGTTGATGAGTTGGCTACTATATGCCAATGCTTTACATTTAAGTACAGCACTTTTCTTTTTACCCTTAGCACATTTTAGTTTAGGGCGAAGCAGTGGCGCAGAAGGTAGTGCTGTCGCCTCACAGCAAGAAGGTCGCTGGTTCGATCCTCGGCTCAGTTGGCGTTTCTGTGTGGAGTTTGCATGTTCTCTCTGCCTTCGCGTGGGTTTCCTCCGGGTGCTCCAGTTTCCCTCACAGTCCAAAGACATGTGGCTCAGGTGAATTGGGTAGGCGAAATTGTCAGCAGTGTATAAGTGTGTGTGGATGTTTCCCAGAGATGGGTTGCAGCTGGAAGGGCATCCGCTGCATAAAAAACTTGCTGGATAAGTTGGCGGTTCATTCTGCTGTGGCGACGCCGGATTAATAAAGGGACTAAGCCAAAAAGAAAATGAATGAATGTATCTCTGGTTCTGGATGGCCACACTCCTCTACTGCATCTTGGTCCCGCATTTATTTTAAAGGAGCGCTACCCTGTACTAAAATGGCGGCTCTATTTACGCATTCCTTCCAATACAACAACAGGGTAGGCGACATCTACTGTAAATATCTATAGAGAAAAGTAACTTTTATGAGCATCTGTAACCGTGTAAAGTGCTGTATTGTCCGGGTTGGTGTTGTATATTACGCTACAAACACCTTGCACTAAACTGCCAGTAGATTTTCTGTTATTTTACACACTTGTTTCTTTATATATTATTTCTTATGCATTAAATTATTATTACAAACAACTAAAATGTCAGTAAAAGCAACTTTGTTAAACTGTAGAGTTGAATTTTCAACAGCAGAAGTGAGAGAGATCAACATCCCAATAATGCAGAGGCGTAGGCCCCCCTGCAGAGATCACTGACGGGGCTCCCTGATGTAGGGGGGGGGGGTGAGAGACAACACGGGGAAGCCTTCACAAACTGAGGAGGGATCACAAACCGAAAGTGGCGAGAGCGTCAAAGTAGCCAGAAGTCGTTCATTTTCAATGAGAACCGGCGGCGAGAAACAGCGCGGCACGTCTTCTTCGCTGTGAGCGTCGAGGAGTTGAAATCAAGTTAACTTTATAGTATGAGCTATGATGTGGTTCGGCGGCAAGCAATCAGAATGAAGTAGTCCACCGCTTGAGAGGTGTTCAGAGAACACAGACCTGTGATCTTTGGTTCCAACCAGGCCCGGATTGGCTAATCGGGAGGACCGGGAGAATTCCCAGTGGGCCGGTCCATATTTTGGCCGTGAGGGCCGGTGTCCCTAGCTCCAGAATCTGTCGCTCTCAGCAGTCACACTTTTTAAAAATTATTTATTTATTTACTTGACCACAGCCTTCTTATTGATTATTTTACCGCAGCTCTGCTCTTTTTATCTATTTTCTTGTAGCCTCGTGAGCAAGATGCAACCTGCAGGTTAATGATGTTATAAGATAAGTCATCATTCAATGTACAGCTGTTGTGGTACTGTGGTTAGCTCGTTAGGTTATGATGCCACCAACCCGGGGTCGGTCCACATCTGAATAACATTTTTTTTTTCATTTTTATTTTCAAGACATATAATACTGTAAGGGCTGTTAAACATTTGAAGTTCTAAAACAGCTGTTTTCTCAAAAAAAAGACGTGATAGTGTCATTAGAAACTGAATTGGCTTGAAAACTCCAGGGCTGAAAAAGAGTCCCACTCCGGCCCTGGTTCCGACCACAGTTGTTCCCAAGAGTTTGAGTATTGCGGTTGCCAGATTTACAATTATTGAAAATCACGACGATCGCCCCTAATCATGCGGCCCCCCCCCCTGCGGTGCATGCCCTGCGGGCCCGTCCGCTACGCCACTGCAATAATGCAATTTACAACCATATAAGCACTTGTCAATGACTAAATATGAATGTAGTGGGTGACGCTGTGGCGCAGTAGGTAGTGCTGTCGCCTCCCAGCAAGAAGGTCTCTGGTTTGGTCCTCAGCTCAGTTGGCTTTTCTGTGTGAAGTTTGCATATTCTCCCTGCGCTAGCGTGGGTTTCCTCCGGGTGCTCTGGTTTCCTCCACAGTCCAAAAGACATGCGGACCAGGTGAATTGGGTAGGCTAAAATTGTCCGTAGTGTGTATGTGTGTGAATGTGTGCGTGGATGTTTCCCAGAGATGGGTTGCAGCTGAAAGGGCATCCGCTGCGTAAAAATGTGCTGGATAAGCGGTTCATTCCGCTGTGGCGACCCC